AGCAGCAGCAGCTGCTGCTGCTGCTGCTGCGCCCTCCGTCTGCCCCGGAGAAGAGACAGCACCGAGAGACTGCAGCAGCTCCTGCAGGCAGGGCAGCAAAGAAGGTGCTGCAGGATCTTGCTGCTGCTGCTGCTGCCGCGGGTCTTCTGGGCGTGTGCCGCTGCTGCCGTCGTTCTGACCTTGCAGCTGCTGCAGCAGCTGCTGCAGCCGTTGCTGCACCTGCTGCTGCAGCTCTAATGGCGAGCAGATGCCTGCTGCATCGCCAGACACCAGCTGCTGCTGCAGCGGCACTTCGCGGGGGCGAGGGACGTCTTGCTGCTGCCCGCCTGCTGCAGTGCCCCGCCGTTTGCTGCTGCTGCCGCTGCTGCTGCTGCCAGTCATGCCATTGCTGCTGCTGCTGCTCTTGCCCTGCGTCCCCAGAGAAGCCAGGAGCGAGGCCACAGCAGTGAAAGGCGACTCATTGCCGTTTTGCTGCAGCATGGGTGCGTCTGCTGCTGCTGCAGGAGTCTGCTGCCTGCCAAGAGCAGCAGCAGCAGCAGCAGCAGCAGCAGAGGCATCTCCTCCAATTGTGCTGCAGCAGCGCTTGCGGAAGGCGCTCGGGGACATGTAGCCTGTCCTCGAGCCTCCCCTGCCTCTGTTGGGCCCATCTAGCAGCAGCAGCTGCTGCTGCTGCTGCTCCTGCTCCTCTTGCTGCCTCTCAAGCTTGCACAGGGAAGACCCGCAGGCTTCCCCAGAAGTGCTGCAGCAGCAGGCGCTGCTGCTGCTGCAGCAGCCCGACCTGCTGCTGTTGCCTCCCGGCGTGCTGCTGCTGCTCGGGGTGAGGACGCTGCTGCTGCTGCCGTCAGCAATACAGCCTGCAGCAGCCAGCAAAAAAGTTGTTGCAAACTGCTGCTGGTGCAGCTGCTGCAGCTGCTGCAGCTGCTGCAGCCGCTGCAGCTGCTCCAGCTGCAGCGCATAGCCCGCGGTCTCCGCCTGCGACATAAGAGTGTCCCCGGAGCGCTGCCGCTGCTGCTGCGCTGTTGCTGCTGCTGTTGCAGAGGAGTGCATCTGCAGCAGCAGCAGCTGCTGCATGACCTGCTGCTGCGCCAGCATCACAGCAGCAGCAGCAGCAGCAGAGTGAAACAAAGACATGCCCTTCTTTAGGTTGTCTTCTGGCCGCAGCGCCTCCTCATCCACAGCAGCAGCAGACAGCAGCGGGGGCAGCGGTGCTGCTGCTGCTGCTGTTGCTGCCAGCAGCCCCGTCGGCGTGGTTGCTGCAGTGCCATTCGTGACGCTGACAGCCCCGTTGCTCTTGCTGCTGCTGCCTGCTGCCCCCACAGCAGCAGCAGCTGCTGCTGCTGCCTCCTGCTGCTGCCGCTGGCTGCGCAGCAAATCCAACTCCATGTCTTTCCGCGCCTGCAGCGCCTTCTCTCTCGCTCTCTCGAAGCCGTAAAGCTTTGATGAAAAATACTTCTTCAGGATCTTGCCCCCTGCAGCAGCAGCAGCAGCAGATGCAGCAGCAGCAGCAGCAGATGCAGCAGCAGCAGATGCAGGGGCGGGCCACGCAGCTCGGCGGGGAAGCACAGACAAGAGCAGAGGCTGCTTAGTTGCCCCTGGCTCTTACTCAGAACAGAAACAGCAGCAGCAGCAAAAGCAGCAGCAGCAGCAGCAGCAGCAAGAGCCTTACCGACATGCAGACGCGCTACCCAGGAGTTGTCATAGCGGCTAAAGTGTACGCCCAGCTGGCGCAGCTGGTTATCTGAAGGCTGCTGCTGCGGCTGCTGCTGCTGCTGCTGCTGCTGCTGGCGGTCGCCGCGCAGCGGCAGCCAGTCATCTGGCCTCGAAGTGCTCCGCTCTCTCGTTTGGTTGCGCAGCAGCAGCTCCTCCTGCTGCTGCTTGATGGCGGGGAGGCCAGCAGCAGCGTTGCTGCTGCCGGCGAGGCTGCTGGTGGCAGCAGCAGCAGCAGCAGCAGGGTCTGCGGCGCCAGCAGCAGCAGCTGCTGCAGCGTCGAGGGCGTGCGGGTCCAGGGACGAGGAGCGCCTGCTCCTGGCCTGCTGCTGGTTGGCGCGCTTGTGGTGCTTGCTGCTGCTGCTGCTGCCCATGCTGCTGCAGACCTGCTGCTGCTGCTGCTGCTCTGCTGCGTCCCGCCGCGCCAGCTGCCGCTTCGGGCGAGTTGAAGTGCGAGTGCTGCGGGCCAAAGAGCCTGTGCTGACTTCAGAAGCAGCAGAAGGGGAGCAGCGGGAGGAAGCAGCAGCAGCAGGAGAAGCAGGGCCAGCCTGGAGTCCCACGGGCCTGCGGGAGAGGAGCCTGCTGCTGCTGCTGCTGCTGTGCTGCTGCAGCAGGAAGTCGTCGTCGTCCATCTCCACCGCCGCTGCTGCTGCCACCTCCGACGCCGAGGGGCTGCTCACTGGCTGGCTCGTCGTGCTGCAGCTCTTGCTGCTGCCTGCTGCTGCGCTGCTGCCCTCGCTGCTGCGCATGCTGCAGAGGGGCACTGAGAATGCTGCTGCTGGCCTTGCTGCTGCAGCACGGCCCTGCTGCAGCCGCTTCACAGCATCCGAGGGGACCCCCACAGCTGCCCCATCTGCTGACCACTCCGCCAGAGGGCCCCCCTGCTGCTGCTCCGTTGCTGCTGATGAGACAGGGAGCTCCTGCAGCAGCAGCTGCTGCAGCTGCTGCGCGGCACAAGGAGTCGGGTCTGCTGCAGCAGCCATCGTGCTCAGAGAAGGGCTGCTGCTGCTCTTCTGTTGTTTGGCCGCTGCTACTCCTGTGCCGCTGCTGCTGCTGCTGCTGTAGGCGGGCGGGTGCACGGCGTGCCGCAGCAACGGCAGCAGCAGCAGCAGAGGGCAGCAAAACAGAAACGACGCAGCAGCAAGTAAGGGTTTGATGCGGCAGCAGTGATGCAGAAGAAGACCAGCGGACTGCTGCTGCTGCTGCCCCGGCCTGCTGTGCTGCGGGGAGATGGGATCGCCTGCTGCTGCAGCAGGGCGCGGCAGCAGCAGCAGCAGCCTAGCAGCAAACCTGCTGCTATGGCAGATAAACAAACATAAGAGTCTATAATGGGGAGAAACGCAAGAACTGCAGCAGCGAAATGGCAGCACCTGCTGCCGCTGCTGCTGCTGCTGCTGCACTTCGATGTTGCGGTGCGACTGCAGCAGAACAGGGGTAGGAGCTCCACCAGCAGTCACAGTGTGCAGCAGCAGCAGCAGCAGCAGCGCTGCATAGCAGCAGCTCTTACAAGAAAACAAAAGAAACTCTTATTCTTTGTTGCGGCAGCTGCCGCGGGGGAATAACGGACGCAGACTGTATTGCTGCTGCGGCTGCTGCTGCTGCTGCTACGGCAGCAGTAGCAGCAGCAGCAGCAACAGACCACTAGCAACTGCTGCAGCAGCCGGGGCGGGGCGCCAAGCGGCAGCTGCTACGACGCGCTGCAGGCCTTTTAAAATAATAATGTAATAATCAAAAGGCGTTTCAATTCTCTTTTTGATCATCCCTTTACAGGATTTTCTCTCGCAGCAGCAGCAGCAGCAGCAGCAGCAGCGCGTTGTTGCTGGTGCTGCTCCTTTGGCTGCTGCGGCGGCATTTGGGGTTTGGCAGACATGCAGCAGCTGCTGAGCAAACTGGGGCCTCTCCAGCGCTTCTTCATCATCAGCAGCAGCAGCAAATCTTGTCTCTGCAGCAGCGACTGCAGCGGCGGCTCCTGCAGCGGCAGCAGCAGCGCAGCAGCAGCACCACCCCACCGCAGCCTGAAGGTCTTCCCGCTGGTCCTCTGGGCCTTCACAGCCACTTCTAGGCGCGCAGCAGCAGCCGAGCAGGTCATTGCGTTGTCTGCTGCAGCAGACTTCAAGGGCAGCGCCCACGGGTGCAGCAGCAGCAGCAGCAGCAGCGACGGTTCCGGGCCGTTCTTGCTGATCGCGCAGCCGCTGCAGCGGCTGCGGCTATCCCGCTGCTGCGCAGCAGCCCCAGCTTCTCTCCGGCGGCCTCAAGAGCCGCAGCAGGCCGCCGCCGTCCCTGCAGCTGCAGCAGCAGCAGCAGCAGCAATGAGTTTGCTGCGGCTGTCTGTCCCGCTGCGGGGCCTCCAGAAGCAATCCATGGTCCGCTGCTGCGATGGCTCGGGGGCCCTCAAGGCCTGCATTATAGGCCTGGGCAATTATAGGCACGGGGGGGGGGCCCCCGGGGCTCGGGTGCGTTTGTCTGTGCGGGACCGGCAGCAGCAGCAGCAGCAGCAGCAGCAGCAGAAGATGCCCCTCGGCCTCATTGTCCGCTCCAAAAAGGAGAAAAGAAGGAAAGATGGCTCTTATATTTCCTTCGGAGACAATGCATGCATTCTCATTGCCAAAAACAAACTGCAGCAGGGGCCCATCAAGGGGCCCCTCCCCTTCGACATTTCCCACAACTCCAAACTCCTGGCAGAGGTCATCCTCTAGGGGCCCTCAGGGGCC